AGAGAGAGAGAGAGAGAGAGAGAGAGAGAGAGAGAGAGAGCGTGCGGTCGAGAATCATAATGCTGGGATCAAGGATTCGAGTCGAGGTAACAGGTACGTCGCGCGCGCTTGTGAGATCTCGGCGGTCACGGCCATTGACCAACCTTGGACGGTATCCGTTAATGATTTCCTTGCTCGCCCGTTGGCCGTGGATCGCGCATTATTCAAGCATGCGCGCGTGCGCGTCAAGCATTCGTCAAAAGTCTTTTTCTGTAGCAATAGCAATATTTCTCTCGCGTTTCTCAAAAAGTTCTTAGAGTAATATGCACACATACACAGAACTTCCTCCCGCACGCAAAAAAATTTCAGTTGGTGCAACCAAATAGGAACCAACTGAAAATTAGGTGATCAGAAGCGATATTTCTGTTATAAAAACTAATATTTCTGTTGTCGCAATCGAAAATATTCGTCTGAACATTCAACGATATCAGAACTCGGTTGAGGCAACTGAGAACAATTGACTATACAGAAGCCTCATAAAGGAATTGTTCTGTTCCTACAACCGAATTTTCGTCTGGTCCCTGAGCAGCCGAAAACTTGGTTGCGCCAACAGAATTGTTTTTTCCGTGCGCCATATACATATATAAATACACTATTAGGAAAAATATCTACTCTTAAAACTATTTACTTATATATAAGTTGTTTCATTTAAGCAGAATGAACAACTGCTTTAAGCTACAGTTCTCAGAAAATGTATGTTTCTTCATTTAAATCTAATTTGTGTGCTCGTTTACTGTTATAATAATTTAATTATCTTCTGTATTCAGATTCTTTTTGTTATTGTTTCTTTATTATTATTGCGAAATGACTGCTTTGACACTTAATTTTTCTTTTTCAATTTTTAACTACGTTCTTTATTTATTATTGCTAAATATCTATTGCAACACTTAATTTTTTGCTTCTTAATTATACCCTTAGAGGAGTTACTTTAGAATGATTATTACATACTTTACATTTTAATCATTTGAAAAAATATTTTTTTAATATGAAAATATATGTATTAGTATAAGAAAATATGTTATTAGTGCCAAAAATTTTGTATTTCTTAGATATTTCTTCCTCTTAATGTAATATCTGGTTTTTCGAGACGCTTAAATAATTTCCTCTCAGAGGAGGAGGAGAAAGAGGAGAGAAAGAAAGAGAAACACAGATCCGTGAGATTCGGACCGACGTTTCTTAATCGTGCCAGGGTTAATTAAGTCTCGCCAGACGAGGACCTCCAAGCTGAACGCTTGGAAAGCGATTCCGCTTATTATTCCGCGCGGTAAACACGGGCGCCGGTATACGTAAAAATTGCGATCGCAATGCGCGCGATCGACGAGCTTCTTTTGGAACGCGATCGCTTTCACTCGTCGTCGGATAGTGTTCCGAGTGCATAAGCGCGCATAACGGATTTCGCGTGGTCTCAGCAACCTACAAACCCCGAACTGCGGATAAGGGAGTCACGTGTCCTATTATAGACGATCGCGACCAATTGTTATTTTTACACAGAAGAAATTCTGTTGGTGCAACCGAATTTTCGGTTGCTCAGGGATCAGGCGAAAACTCGGCTGTAGGCCGAGAAAATATGTTATTAATGCCAAAAATTTTGTATTTCTTAGATGTTTCTTCCTCTTAATGTAACATCTGGTTTTTCGAGACGCTTAAATAATTTCCTCTCAGAGGAGGAGGAAAAAGAGGAGAGAAAGAAAGAGAAACACAGATCCGTAAGATTCGGACCGACGTTTCTTAATCGTGCCAGGGTTAATTAATAAAATTCCTTTATGAGGCTTCTGGAGTCAGTTATTCTCAGTTGCCTCAACCGAGTTCTAATATCGTTGAATGTTCAGACGAATATTTTCGGTTGCGACAACAGAAATATTAGTTTTCATAACAGAGATATCGCTTCTGATCACCTAATTTTCAGTTGGTTCCTATTTGGTTGCACCAACTGAAATTTTTTTTGCGTGTAGTCCGCATTCAGGCCTCGTCTTTCTCTGCCTTTTTCTTTCTTTCTCTATTTTTGTCTTTCCTTCCTTATGTCTACAATACACTACTATTTTCATGATCGCGGTTATACTCCTACACGCAAAAAGAATTTCAGTTGGTGCAACCAAATAGGAACCAACTGAAAATTAGGTGATCAGAAATGATATCTCTGTTATGAAAACTAATATTTCTGTTGTCGCAACCGAAAATATTCGTCTGAACATTCGATGATATTAAAACTCGGTTGAGGCAACTGAGAACAATTGACTATACAGAAGCCTCATAAAAGAATTTTTCTGTTTCTACAGCCGAGTTTTCGTCTGATCCCTAAGCAATCGAAAATTCGGTTGCACCAACTGAATTGTTTTTTGCGTATACGTTAGTCGGTTGCAAAACAATCGAGGCACAATAAAGATGGAAGCTCACCAAACTGTTAAAATTGAGAGTCATTATTGATGGTTAATTGTTATATTATTACTTAATTATTTATATTCCTTCTCACCCTTACGCAATAATAATGCAATTAATAATATGATAAATAATAATAGTAATTTATAATATAATTGCTGCGCAAGCTCGTCTAACTACTCTCAACTTTGACAAATTGGCGAAATCTCAACTTCATTATGTCTAAACCATTTTGCAACTGAATGCACAAAATACCGCGAAGCGGAAGAAAGGAATCCACCCTCTCCCGAGCCGTCACGCGCGATTTTTTATTTCACGGTGATCTTCCCCCGCGAAATGGAAATCCTTTCGACTGCGGATTCCGAGAGCGAAATGAGCGGCGAGTCTCGCGAGAACCGGTGATTTCCCACGTACCGACGATCATCCGTTACATCAAATTGCTCGAGTCGCTACTCGCGTACGGTGTCCGTGCCGTGAAAGGAGTAATTAGATATCAAACGATGTAGCGCGCTAAATGAAAGAAAATGTGATCAGGAGGCGAGACGATATCAACCGTGCATCCGCGTATCGGCCAGATAAATCGTTATTCTATAAAATTGCCTGTTCGTACTTTTCCCTGGCATTTCTACGTGCAGCCGCTCCGGTGTAATCTTCGAAAAGTAACGACCATCTCGCTCGCGACTTGGCGATCGAGGAAGTATGAGGCCACACACGGAATTTCCTTCGAGGCGACGTACGAGAGCTCACATCTGCGCGCGCGTGTGTCACTTACTCTTGCTCTTGACCTCTTGCGAACTCGGGTTCCAAGACCGCTCACTCGTACGTTCTTCCGTCGCTTCACGCACGCTTATCCTGCCTACGCATGCTGACGCAGCGTGAGTTTATCGCCGGCGGAGTATCGATCCTTATTAACAAGGAAATAATGCCCTCCCGGCGGGATTTCGCTCGCGGCGCAACTTCCTCGCGACTATCACTTTATCTGCGGCGTTACGCTTACGGTTACGGTTACATGTTACGTTACGTTACATTACGTTACGTTACGTTACGTCGACGGTCACGCTGCAAACCATGCCACGTTATCTGCAGGTAATATCTAGCGCGCGGAGCATCTCCATGTTGAACCATCACTTTGGACGTAATCTAGGCAGATAATTAGAAATGATACGGATCGCACGTCAATATAAATTACATTTCAGAAGAAGGTCACGGATACGACTGTGATCACGTCCTCTTTGATTTCAGATGTCCAGGTATCTTGATCTGATACTCATTATCACGGCGTTCACGCAAGTATACGGTGCCAAAAAGTGCGAGGGCAACGGTCTAGGTCTGAAATACGTATGGGGCGACGCACTCACCGATCCTGATGACTGTATAGGGCCCAATAACATGCAGTACCCTTCGTAAGTGATAGACTTAAGCCTAGAACCCTAAACACGGGTAAAACTTACCGAAACCAACTTTCCAAACTTTATCGTCCTTAAAAACATGTGTTTTGTTTTGTCCACTATATCTTTCTTCAACTATAACTATCAAAATATAACTTTTTTCAATTTGAATTGAATCGCAAAAAACATTAATAGATTCATATTCCTCGATATTTTTTCTGCTGATTAAAAAAAACGTTGAATTTTGATTATATTTACGGAAGTTATGAGCAAATAAAACCGCACCGCGTGAAATTTAACCATATTTAGGATTTACGTAACTTTTTGACGCGTTTAGAAGATTCTAGGGTTAAACAATTTGGATAGTTTTGCTGTCCGACAGTTTATATACCACGCAACAGATCATCGGCCCACAGTTTGAGTACTTTATAATCTTGGTAAAATATTCTCTCAATTACTCTCTCAATAAATATTCTCTAATAAATAAGATATATATAAAAAATAATAAACAAATATATATATTGTATATAAAAGAGGTCTCAAAATATACAATTAAAATGAGCAAATTAAAGGCAAATAAGAGCTAGTGTTAGAACGACACAATATTTGATAAGAAATACAAAAAAATATTTGGTTACATTAATTAAATTAGTAAAATATGAATGAACTAGAATTCCGGTTGAGGTTACCAGAATTCTATTCGAGTTAACAAAAATTGTCTGATCAATTAAACAAGATTTTTTCTTACTACAACTTGCAACAGTTTAATTTGTAAAGTTTTCGTGAAAACATAATACAGATTAATATAAACATAAAAATTCTATACATTTTGTCGCATGATTATTCACAAATCATTGTTAATTCGATAAATCTTCTCTAATTGGATTTAATATTTCGATAGCTATTGCGAATATCGCAAAACGGTATATGAGACTTTTGCGTTTACCTTAATCTGCTCTACACTCTCACAAGAGATTGTGAAATCAAGCTGGGACACCCTGTATATATGAACTTTTCTTCATAAAATTATTTTAAGAATTAGTTTCTAAAATATTGGACAGTATTTAAGAATCGCCTTGTATATTATGTAAAATATAAAGAAAATACCGTCTCTTTTTTCTATTAAATATTATATCATTCTAACAGCAGAAATAGTTCTTACTTGTCTTTCATATTTTCATTTTAATTAGTAAACAATTTTATAATTGCACTCTATAATACAAAAAATTTTGTAGCCGAGCCTCTAAGCAGCCGTTTAATTGTCTGAACGTAAATCCGCTATCGTTATTGATATAATTTCGCGCAAAAATCGAACTATTATCACTCAGAGTACTTGATATATAGTTAAGCTTTTTATTCGTGTGTTTTCCCGTTTTGTTTGATTTTCGTCCGGCAGGAAACGCTTCTAGGATAGATCAAATGTGCGCATATTGCTGGGATTTTATTTTGAGATTCAAATTGCACACAAACTGTTAACCGGTAGTAAGATGTAAGAGGAAAAGATCTAATAGCAGAGTGAGTGAGTGAGTGAGTGAGTGAGTGAGTGAATGAGAGAGAGAGAGAGAGAGAGAGAGGAGAGAAAAGAACGGATGAAGTATACGGTTCTTGCAGAGCCGCGATATCGAGGAGCTTTAAGAATCTCTGGGCGGGCAGTAGTCGAACCGCGCGATCGCATCAGCCACGGACGATTGATCCTGAACTGACGAGGCAAGCGCTTCTGCACAACTACAAAGCGGTCCACGGGGATTACTCCATTGCCGCAAACTCCCGGAACGGTGAGTTTACCCACATTTCCTGCCTCTAGAACAAAGTGTGAGAGAGACTCAGATAGCACAAATTTCTCTAAAAGACACCTAAAGATATCTCAGTTTAAAAAGAATAGAATGTCTTTAAAGTCCGTACTAATAGTCGTTATTTGAAACTTCTTTTTGTAAAATATTCAAATTTTTACATAGAGTCAGATTCAAGTTTCTTGCTTGAATTGTGATGTATGACATTTATATCTGTAGTCGCGATTCAATTGAAAAGAACTCTCATCTAACTCTAAAAACTGAAATCTGAGTATCTCACCTGAGACGAGTTTCGAGTAATGATTATTGATACAAGCCTAAGACATCTTTTAGAAATTTGTGCTGCCCGGAGAGTTTATCGCGGCGGATCGCATCGGATTTATCGCGATCAAACCACCGCAGCGGTCGTAGTACGTTCGAATGGAGCTCAAAATAATTATTATTTCCTCCTTCTCTCCGCGATTAAAAGGCGCCACGATAGGGGATTAAGTCACGATACATGGAAGTAACTGGAAGTTGTTTGCCAATCTCGTTAACCTCACGTTAACCGGTTCTGTATCTGCACGTGCAGCGTTCGCTTCGTCTTATTTCCTGCGATCCTTGTCGAGGTTTATCTTAATTGTATGTTTTGCGGGGTGTACGATCGGAATCACGCCGGCGCGATAAGATCGATTGCCGCTTCGCGCTTCTCTTGATTTAGCTTAACAGACACACAAAGTCAGCAGCAGCTTCCGAAGTCATCGGAAGTCGTTGCTTTGCAATTTCTCGGGCGCGAGACATCGTGACCATAGACTTATACACATGGACCTCGTCTTCTTATGAAAGGTTTGAAGATAAGATTTGAAGGACAGCTATATTTTCTCCTCTCACTGTCCACAGGCATTCAACTACTACCTAGTTTGACTCCTATTAGGGAAAGCTAAATTAAAATCCTTATTCTGTGACACTCTTTTATCAATAAAAGCATTTCTAAACTTGACTGAAAGCCAATTATAAAGCCTATAAATCACATTTAGAGACACTTTTATTTGTAAAAAAGAGTTTAGAATAAAGGCCTAAATATTGGTTAGAAATTGATTAGAATAGAAATTAGAATAAAATATTGATTAGAAGCTAGACAAAGATTGAAAATGTGACACTGACAAGATATTATTAAAGATCGTCAATTTTCATAAAAGCAAAAGAGATATTTGGAGGTAATTGAAGAAGGCATTATTGACTATTCTTAATTACTCGATATAAATCTGAACATTCAGATGTAACGTAATGTAGTGTAATGAAGTATTAATTTTATAATTTACAATTATCTTGTTGTTTTGTATACGGACCTACATTACCCGAAATACATTAGATACTTTTTATAAAACTGCATTTCTGCTGTTATCATTTACGCTGATGTCACACAAATTTATAAGCAAATTTACCATTAGAAGATTATTAAATTAGAACTGAGAAAAAAGCAGTTAGATGGATAAAATCGGCAGTCACCTGCCCTCAAAGAAATATTATGTCTTTTGAATAAATTACGCGCTAATACAACAATAAGTTGTATTGATATAATTACTAACCAAATCGCCATCATTGAATTATTTGATAACTCTTGTCGCGCAGCAACGATATAATACGTTCAATCGACTAAACGTTTGCTTGGACGAATTTTGTTGGTTCAAACAAAGTCTCGTTAGCTCAACCACTTTTTTCTCAGTGTAGAGAAATTTTCTGTTACGTTAAATCGCTTAAAGTCGATGGTTCTTAGTATTTCTTCGTCGATACCTGCTGACAGTGGAAGGAAGTTAGACAAAGATTGAAGTCCTATACTAATAGGACATTCTTTCCTGGTTAAGTCTTCGCACTCTCTTGTAGAACATTCAGTCTATGTAAGGGTAAAACATAATGGTTATGCAATCTGTTGAGCAATTGCCAGCGTTGATTGAAATATTCTTATAGATCTATGGTAGACTAAAAGAATGTTCCAATGACAGTGAGCGATTACCCAACCCATTCTGTTGCTTAAACACAGCCTAAGGGTTCTAGTACACAAATTTACGTAAACGTAAAATATAAACTTAAGCTGAAGAACTAATCAGGATATTGCTTCATTTTTGTGAAAGACTCTAGAGAAAGATAGAAATAACGGTCTAACGGAAATAACTAGAACTTAGACTGAGTAACTAGAAAACCGATTGGATTCTAATTACTTCTGCATAAAAATCAGTTTTATCAGTTCTATCTTCTTCTAGAGTATGCAAAGCTAAAACAATATCCTGATTGATTCTTTAGCTTAAGTTTACCTCTTACGTCTACAGTTATCGAAATTTGTGTGCGGGAACCCAAAAACTCATTCTACAATAGCCGTAAGAGCATGCAGTAAGACGTAAGCGATAAGTGAATTGACCGACTATTACTTATTATTCTTGGACTGGAGGAACCTCATTGGTCAATTAACTTAAAACATAAAAACTTAAACAAAACTTGAGCAGTAAAACGTAAGCAGTAAGCAAATTGCCCAATCACAGTCGACAACTCTTCTTACGATCCAAGAATCAATGACTATGATTGGTCAATTTGCTTACTGCTCACGTCTTACTGCTTAAGTTTTTCCGTGTGTCAATAGCCGTTCCGGCTATTGCAGAATGGACTTAAGTTTATCCTCGCAACCGATCGAGCACGAGATTCTGTTCGCAACAAATGCGTTCGTCCATTTAAAGTCGCTTCGTCCCGGCTAGGTGCATCGCTCACGCGAGTACAATCGCTCGTACCTTCATTCCGGTATCTGCAATTTCCATAAAACGACCCTGTTCCCACGCGGGCGAAGGCCTCGAAAAAAAATTGTGGCGCGCCCGACGCTGGCCGCGCGCGGTTTGCGCTCGAAGCCCCGAGGAGGCCCACGAAAATTGGAACGGCTGGTCGCCCAGGTACGAGGTGCCGGCACGGCCGGCGCGTATATCCATTTACGATCGCGCCTGCTTGCGCGTTACCAGCTCGCCCTGCAGCCTTGAGTTATGCAGCTGTCCTTATGACACGAAAACCCGCTTACAAGCGTCGCTTCCGACCGGTCGCCGATGTTTCTGCGAAATTCACGCGACCGGCGAGTTTTCCGAGACGGTTGCGTCTCTCGCGGTGCTTGATCCTCCCGATAATGGCCGGTCGGTGGCGCACCGGCACGGTAATAAGGCACCGTGTTATCCGGTCAATACAGTTATCGCTCGTTGTACTCATAACGGGACCTAGCGGCGACCCACTCGTCGTTTCGTTTCGAGCGTACGTGGCTTGTCGCGGGATACCCGACGAAGGCCGCTGATTCCGAGAGCGAATTCTGACTCGGCTGCAGCAAAGAGGCGGGAAGATCGCGCGGTTGTCTGCAACAACGTTGCCTCGTCTAATGATACGTGTTCCCGTTGGAATCGTCGATCGATCAATCCGCGTAGAAATTTCCTAAGATTTTCCCAGAATAGACTTCAATTAGAACAGCAAATTTTCTGGGACATGATTGGAATTCAATCCGATTTCACCAAAAAATCACGAGATTCGATGGAGAAACCTGTGAAGATTCGGATTAGATGTGTAATGGTCCCAAATTGCAATTCCAACTGGGAAACCCAAACAGATTTCGTTTTCTCTACTAAACATTTTGTCAAAGCTTTCTAACGTTTTCCTCTAATTTGTTCGGTTTCTATTTTATGTCTTCTTCCACGTTGCTGATTGATTGTCTCTTTGCCACGTCACGACTTACTTCATCACTTAGATAGTGCATTGACAACTTTGACAGTTCATGATTAAACGATTCGCGAAGATTACGCATTTTGACCATTTAGTCATTCTATGCATCTTTTTTTCAACTTCTGCTTTATATTTATGTTGAACAAATGGTTTAAAATGTTTTGTGTATATTTATGCACGCTTTACAAATATAAATACTTAAAAAACGCAAATACTCAAAGCGTTTCAAATATCTTATTTAAACATAAGTATAAAACGAAAATGGAAAAAAGAAAATTTTGGGAAAATTGTTTCAAATATTTTGCTCAACTTTTTTTTGAAGTAAATTTATAAACGACTTGAACAAAACTTGAATATATACTATATTTTCACTTTAAATATAAAACTTCAACATCACATTAAATATTCAAATATATGATAATTATTTACAATTGGCAACCAATAAGTATTAATAAGTATTAATAAATATTAATACTTATTAATAAGTACTAAAAAGTAATAAATATTAATACTTATTAATAAGTACTAAAAAGTATCAATAAGTATTAATTATTGTTTTATTTTCTGTATCTCTCCACTTTTTTATTTTTTCTACGCATCTTTTGTTCCGTTTTCAGTTTCACCTTCTCTTTTCATGTTTTTTTATATCTTCTTCTCGCCAATCTCTCGTTGTCCTTTTTGTTTTTTTATTTTTTTCTATCCTTTTTTTTTATATATTTTTTCTCTTAACTTATACATTCATTTCTTTTGTTATGAAAAATATATAAAACTTATAAGTATAATATCACTAATTATTATTAATCACAAAACTTTTATTTTTAATCTTTTAACACAATATTTTCCCAATATTGGGCATTATTATTAGAAATTTGAGATCATGATTTGTACGATGTATAATAATGATAACTTTCGAAGACGTCTTTCTAACGAAGACAAATTGATAACGAACTTAAACATAATAGATAAAATAAATAAACTGTTAAAATGTATGACCTTCGCAAATCGTTTAATCACAAACTGTCAGAGCTGTCAATGCACTATCCAAGTGATGAAGTAAGTCGGGACGTAACAAAAAGACAATCAATCAGCATCGTGAATAGGAAAAGAGGTAAAATAGAAACTGAACAAATTATGGGAAAACGTTGAGCAGAACAAATATAACCACAACTTCATTTATTTAGGAAATCGGACTAGATTCCAATTAGATCCCAGAAAATTGTTTATAGTTGATATAAAAATGAGATTCCTAATTAGTATCGCAATATAGTACACTCATTTGAGATAAATTTGTGTAATCTGATCGGAATCTATGTAATATTTGGGAATGTTTGGGAAATTTTCATGCGGGTCATAATCATTTGGAGGAATTGGAGTGAATCCTAATTAGATCCTAAGAAATTTTCTATACGGAAGCCCGTACAGAAACTTTGCGAGATTTTCTCAGATACACAGATTTCAATTAAAATGCTTAAACTTATCCTAAAATTCATTATTTCACTACAATACCAATCGAGAATTTTTGTCCCAGCTATTATACTTAAATATACTTTTATAGTATCAAACGGGAAATCCCATTTTTATACTAATTAATGTATTCAACAGAACAAAAGAAAACAAAACAAATATTTTTAAAACACTTTGGATATTTCACTGAATAATGAAATTGTTTGGAAAGTCAATATATGCTTTGTTCAATTCTAATGGAAAATTAAGACTAAAAAGAATATTGACGAAACTTTATATTTCCTACTTAGAGTCGCATGTTTGAAACATCGCATCTCTAACCAGAAACCATAATTATTTTGAGGAATTAAACTGGAGCCCAATTAAACCCCAAGAAATCTTCTATGTGAGAAGTTTCTCGCCTCAGTTCCTATGGAGAAATGGGACAACGAGTAATGAGTCGTATACTTAGGAGGACGCGACACTTTAATCCTTGTAATATTCTGAGAGAGGAACTCGCGTGAATCCCGTACTATTACGGGACTATCGCGCACTATACTGTATTATATGTAACGTTTCACTTCTGTCGATAAGCCACAATAACACTTTGTGCTAAGTATAGCTTCGCGTATGATAAGTATAGCGCGGCGAGAGTATCGCAGGATTATCGAGTGTCTGAGTATACGTATTGTTATGTGTATCATTGCATTCGCGCTCTCTGATGAAAATTGTCTGGAGGAGATGATCGCCACTGGGTTTTCAGGCCGTGTGTTTTCCGCGAAGGAAAGTTGCGGCTCGCCTGCCCGGCTCTGTAAGACGAGGTACAATACCACAGCGCCTATGTACGGCATCAGCCTCACCAGTGGACAACCGGTAACGATCGTTCAGAAGTTCCCCGATCTCCTGCAGCAAGTGGTCTTCGAAGTCTGCGAGTGAGTATCGAGAATGAGTCTGTAATCAAGTTTTTAACCCGACATCTTTGCCGCTGGTTTGTGAGGTCATGAGATATATTTCTGAAAGTTCAAAATGTTGAAATGCAGCACTTTTTGGGACTATTGTCTAAAAAGTTATTACAAACCTTAAAATCCAAATACCAAGACAATATGCCAAAACACAATTTTACCAAAATATAAAATTGTTTTAGGAAAAAACTAAACCTATTCCTAATTTAACTGCCAGTCTGAAATAAATAACTTCAGTGAGAATAAGTCTGTAATCAAGTTTTTAACCCGACATCTTTGCCGCTGGTTTGTGAGGTCATGAGATATATTTCTGAAAGTTCAAAATGTTGAAATGCAGCACTTTTTGGGACTATTGTCTAAAAAGTTATTACAAACCTTAAAATCCAAATACCAAGACAATATGCCAAAACACAATTTTACCAAAATATAAAATTGTTTTAGGAAAAAACTAAACCTATTCCTAATTTAACTGCCAGTCTGAAATAAATAACTTCAGTGAGAATAAGTCTGTAATCAAGTTTTTAACCCGACATCTTTGCCGCTGGTTTGTGAGGTCATGAGATATATTTCTGAAAGTTCAAAATGTTGAAATGCGGCATTTTTTGGGACTATTGTCTAAAAAGTTATTACAAACCTTAAAATCCAAATACCAAGACAATATGCCAAAACACAATTTTACCAAAATATAAAATTGTTTTAGGAAAAAACTAAACCTATTCCTAATTTAACTGCCAGTCTGAAATAAATAACTTCAGTGAGAATAAGTCTGTAATCAAGTTTTTAACCCGACATCTTTGCCGCTGGTTTGTGAGGTCATGAGATATATTTCTGAAAGTTCAAAATGTTGAAATGCGGCACTTTTTGGGACTATTGTCTAAGAAGTTATTACAAACCTTAAAATCCAAATACCAAGACAATATGCCAAAACACAATTTTACCAAAATATAAAATTGTTTTAGGAAAAAACTAAACCTATTCCTAATTTAACTGCCAGTCTGAAATAAATAACTTCAGTGAGAATAAGTCTGTAATCAAGTTTTTAACCCGACATCTTTGCCGCTGGTTTGTGAGGTCATGAGATATATTTCTGAAAGTTCAAAATGTTGAAATGCGGCATTTTTTGGGACTATTGTCCGAAAAGTTATTACAAACCTTAAAATCCAAATACCAAGACAATATGCCAAAACACAATTTTACCAAAATATAAAATTGTTTTAGGAGAAAACTAAACCTATTCCTAATTTAGCTGCCAGTCTGAAATAAATAACTTCAGTGAGAATGAGTCTGTAATCAAGTTTTTAACCCGACATCTTTGCCGCTGGTTTGTGAGGTCATGAGATATATTTCTGAAAGTTCAAAATGTTGAAATGCGGCATTTTTTGGGACTATTGTCCGAAAAGTTATTACAAACCTTAAAATCCAAATACCAAGACAATATGCCAAAACACAATTTTACCAAAATATAAAATTGTTTTAGGAAAAAACTAAACCTATTCCTAATTTAACTGCCAGTCTGAAATAAATAACTTCAGTGAGAATAAGTCTGTAATCAAGTTTTTAACCCGACATCTTTGCCGCTGGTTTGTGAGGTCATGAGATATATTTCTGAAAGTTCAAAATGTTGAAATGCGGCATTTTTTGGGACTATTGTCCGAAAAGTTATTACAAACCTTAAAATCCAAATACCAAGACAATATGCCAAAACACAATTTTACCAAAATATAAAATTGTTTTAGGAGAAAACTAAACCTATTCCTAACTTAGCTGTCAGTCTGAAATAAATAACTTCAGTCTAGTAGTTAAAATATGTCGCGCTGCCAAATGCAAAATGCAAAAATTGACATGATATATTTGACATTTAAATATATTTCTCAGCACAGTAATGAGATACTGACAATTTATACTTTTATAGTCAAAGTTTATATCTGAAATAGTGCTGCACTGCAACTTCGTTCCTTTTTCTTCAACACTAGATTATATATTTGTTTCACTTTTTTTAACAGAAAAAATTGCAATCTAACTCAGTTAAAAAAATAATCTATTATTACCTCAAAAACGATATATACTGATGTATTAATATTCACGCATTTGGATACACTCTTGCTGCACTCAAATGAGTAGATATTAATGCATCTAATTGTGCGTACAATAGTTTCAATACTCTGCTTTTTCCTCTTTTTCTTTTCTTTCATTATATATATTTTTACATGTTTGTACCAAACGAATTATTCCATATATAAATAAATAAATATTTCAGTAAAATTATATTTTTTAGAAGATTGTGTTTTGGTATTCAGATTTCGGTATTATAATTTTTCAGGAAATCGCATCCCTTTCTTATACTTTACAAATTTTTATATATTTTTTCGGGACAATATATGTTTACCTTTTCGTGATCCACTTAATTCTAAAGGATTCTCCACTTATATACGGCCTCAAGAAGATACTCTAATATCTACACGGAAAAAAAGGTTTAATTGAATTAACAAAATATCTGGTCGAATATAAACGATCCAGAAATTCCGATTGAAGTAACCCGAATTCTGTTTAAGTCAACCAAACATCTTGTTGACTTAAACAGAAATCGGTTTACTTCAATCAAAATTTCTGGATCGTTCATATTTGATTAGATATTTAGTTAATTCAACCAAACCTTTTTTTTCGTGTAAAGGAATATCCATGACACACTGGATTTAACTTTTCTCCATTAAATTTTTCAAACCTTGAAAGAAATGTTGCAAAGTCACTCTAAAATTAACTGAAGAGCAAATATCGTTATTCACTAGAATTCGATACCTGAAGAAGAACCTTTCGTTTTCGACACAAATATATCTTTGTAAGCCTGAGATTTTTAGCGAAACAAAAAGAACCTTTCAAAATTTAACTGCATGTCCGTGGTATTCGGTGATTTCGAGGTATCCATTATGCGCGCCTCGTTGGACACATAACACGGTTTCCGCAGTCAATTTATGTAAATGGCATTCATGAGCGGCCGGTATTTATCGGCGCGATATATCGCGCGAAATTTTGGTCGGTGATTTATAAGGCGGCAGGACATCGGCCACACTTGAATTGAAATTCGCCTGAGTCGTCCGCTCGCTGAATTAATTCGAATGTGGTGCAGTAGGGCGAACTGGTTTACCATTGTGTGTTCGTGATCGACATACGCCTACTTCTCAGACTTTTTTTTAAACGAAATTCCATCCCAGTCAATTCCCGTAGCCTCGTGTCGCTTAAAGCCACGTCGGGTCGAACAACGAAATTACGCGCGTCAAATCGCACAATGTACTCAGGCTCGAAGATTATGTCATGATTTTTACTTGAAGAATTCATGCGAAGAACACGTGCGAATTTTTCGTGAATTTCACAAATAAGCAATGTCGTATTGAATGCAAAATAATATTAGCCGCGCACTTATTTATTCGCTTATTGGGGAACAAAGTTATAAAAGTATCAATAAAAAATTTTTCTCGAATTAATAATTGGTTGTTGAACAAATATTTTAATTCAATCCTATCATTGAATCACAATTGAATCTTAATTGAATCATTATTCAAGAATGATTAATTTAACATCCAAAAAATTCTTTCATTTAGCGTGATCCACTTAATTCTAAAGGATTCTCCACTTATATACGGCCTCAAGAAGATACTCTAATATCTACACGGAAAAAAAGGTTTAATTGAATTAACAAAATATCTGGTCGAATATAAACGATCCAGAAATTCCGATTGAAGTAACCCGAATTCTATTTAAGTCAACCAAACATCTTGTTGACTTAAACAGAAATCGGTTTACTTCAATCAGAATTTCTGGATCGTTCATATTTAGATTAGATATTTAGTTAATTCAACCAAACCTTTTTTTTCGTATAAAGGAATATCCTATAACCATGACACACTGGATTTAAAATTGCAATCCTCTTAATGCTAGAGGAATTTCCACCTAAAATCTAATCTAGGAATCTAACCTAAATCAATCTGACTGTTAGATATTGTTTAAAGAAAACTTATCCTCAAATGCCACCAGTATTCAACCAAATAGAAGGAGTAGAGCGTACTAGGTGGCGACGGGACGCCGTTCGTGTTCGGGACCTACATTTTTTTCGTTCCAGAGAGAGAAAAATATCTAAAGCGCGGTTTGCTAAGGTCGGGACTCGAGAACTCGGGTTTTGTGCTCTAACCAATGAGCTACCATGCTCCTTTCAGAAAATGTTTTGCTTTATGGTACATAATAGTGAATTCAGCTGCACTGCTGAAAAGAACAGACCAAATGATTTTGTAACTTAGTTGAGGGTAGGTCCCAAGTAGAACAGGTTGCCTATGGTGCAGCTGAAAAGAACAGACCACTTATGACATTTTGTAAATTCGTCAAATTTTTTCCTTTCCTTTTTTCTTTTTCACTCGCGGAAAATAGAAACCTGGTTGAACTGACGTGATATGTTTAGTTAAAGCAATTCTAGTGGAAACAAACAGAATTCCTGGTTACTTTAACGAGATATTCTAGTATGTAACCAGAATATTTACTTAGGTGTAATACTAGTAAGAATTTGGTTTGTATGCAATAACTTTCAAGTCTGGTCGACTAAACGGGAAAAAAAGCACGATCGAATTAACGTAACGTGTTTGGTTAAACGACTGTTGATAGAACTAAACAGATCATTTCTGATTATTATAATCAAAGATTCTGGTATTCAATATTAGTTACAATACAGGCAGATAATATATAACAAATCTATTAATTAGAGAAATGGTATACCACGTAAGACGAACTACTCACAATCCAGAGGTCTCGGGTTCGAATTCTAGGATAAGACGAATTCTTAAAACACGAATATTTCTAGACGAATTCTTCAAACACGATATAACATCGAATCAATTAAATGGCTAATTTCAAATAAGACAATCGTATAACTGTCATATTACTGTCATACAACTGTTATATACTAACACCTTAAGAAACAACGTTCAGTTAAAAAATAATATACTTTCTAGTAAGAAATATAAGTATAATTTTATTTTTATTGTCCATGTAATCAAAACTCTTGTCTAGTTATTTTAACTAGAACGCATGTAAAAATATCTGGTTATCTTAACCGTTCATTAACCAAAGAGTTTAGTTAATGCATTTTGAATTCAAATAGATTCAACCAATTTTTTCCCGTGTTTAATTTACAACTTTCTCGTGCGCTGTACTTATCTTAGAACGACTCTTATTTTCAAAATGGTCTCAGCAATCGTTATTGAATGACTTTTGATTGAAATTCCGGTCATATCAATCATTAACAGACAATTTTCGATTGAATTTACTTATATCAATCGTTAATTAATGTTGTAAGACCTCAATACTGTACTTTCAGAGGCGCATCAGGATCACTCATAGAACTACTATTTATCGGGCAATATTATGTTCTTTAACATTTATTTTATCTAAGTAATAAGAATTAATTTGAGACAAAGTTGAGATGTATATATGCAGTGTTGCATAGATTACATTAATTTTTGCTATTAAAAAATGAAAGTGTTGCAAATTGTTTTATCCCTTATACTACTTTTTGATGCAACACCCTGTTTTGCAACACAATATTGCAAATATAAGAAATATTTCATTATTTTAGTTTTTACATATAGTTGGTTTTTTATTTTTCTTATTAATATTTTATTTGTGCATTCTTATTAATATTTTATTGTGATTTAATAAGTATTTAAATATGTGAATATCTTGAATATTACTATAAATCATAAACTATCCCCATCACTATTTTCCAATAAAAATCAATAATTATGAAATTTGTATACGGTCTTTCATTATAAATTTTGGCAGGTTCAATCCTTAAACTATCTTTGACTCCCCACATTCAAATAAATCACGAATTGAACGGTGTTTCATTGAATTCGTCGAAATCAATCGTCAAACAAACACTCTTCTATTGAATTTGTTAAAATCAATTGACAATTAAACAGGTTTTAATTAGATTCGCTCATACTAATCGTGAATTGAAGACGACGCTTAATTAAAATAGTAATTAATTACTCGCAACCTTGCCGGAGAATAGTTAGCGCGAACGTAGCTCGTAAACAGCTACCTGCTCCGGTGAATGAACCCAGCAGAGTCTCCCTCATCGGTCGCTGTTTCAGATCGAAGGAATGCGACGTGGTCCACGGTGAATGCACGCAGACCTACGTACCATACCTGTTTCTGGTGATTCCCCTTGGTCCAGTGACCTTGACCGGGCAGGATTACGTGCTGGTGGAGAGCGGTTGCGTCTGCAAACCGAGAAATTCGGCGAGTGCGTCCGCCGACCCGCCGACCGTCCCGAGCTTTTAACCAGATCGCGTAGGATCGCAAGAGATCCCGAGCGTCTCGGTATCTCGGATTTCGTCTCCTGGCCTCTCTCTCTCTTCGCGGGACGAAAGGACTCGTTGCGAAACCGCGTGCTTCCTCGGACGTCCTTCGGCAGAAACGACTCCCAACGCCAGTGTCCTCGAGGACTCCGACGCACGCTACGCAAAGAGTACTCTCCGAGAGTGCTTCTGGACTGGTACACCCGATGAGTGAGCCGAATCAGTCTGTCCGTTTATCCTACTCGAGCCGTACTTACTCTCTTCCCGGTAAACACAGGCTAACAGCAATGTCACATCAATGCTATAATTTCGCACTCAACGATCCAACTGTTATGTACACTTAGTTACACAGTTACAACGGTTCACACATATAGTGAAGTTGGGATTTGACCAAACTGTCAAAATTAGGTATCATTATCCATAAATAAATTAGGATAAATGTCTAAAAGATATCTTAGAGACGTCTGAGAGATACCCTACTTGTTTAAATGTCTCCAGGATGTCTCTGAGACGTACTTTAGACGTTTATGCTGTTTAAGTATCGACGAAATTGCTCAATAATTATTAATATAATTATATTATTATATAATTAGTCTCATAGGTAATGGCTCTCAATTTTGATAGTACAGTGAACTCCCATTTTCATTGTTTCTAAACTGTTTTGTAACCAACTATGCAATGCAGGTTACATTGCACTTACATTGTTGAGTGGGAAATTATAACATTGCTGTAAGATTGCCATCAGTTGGTGTTTGCTAGGTTTGGGGCTAATTTTATATTTATTTATTTTTTATTATTATTTTTTTATCACTAGTGTCTCAATTATTTGCCTTTACATGCACAAAAGATCCGCATGAGGTACAATACGGCTTCGTATTCGAAGCGAATTTTACAACTTTCACGGAGCCAGCCTGCTCCCGCTCCGAACTCCTCGATCGTAGCAATTTATATTCCCGAAAACAAATGGCGATACTCGAACTACCGAGCTGCGATACATCTGTTTTCCGTCGAAACCAGCTCTGGCAGCGTCGTAGCGCAAATACAACTCGAGCGTCTCTCCTCCCGAGCGTTCTCTCTTCCCTGCCTACATTTCTCTTCTTTCCTTTTCTCGTGCCAAAAGCCTCGGCGGGACATATTCCGCTGGCATGAAAAAACAAATCGGGGCAGTGATCGCGGCCGTTTCGCGGAATCCGGTCTCGCAATTCGATTGAGTTCGCTAGACTCGCCTCGAGCCGGTTTCGTGCAGGTGCAATAGCGCCTTAGGTGAGCCTCGTGTCCACCGGCAAGATCGTCCACGGGCTCCCTCGGGCACTATCATCGTCGTAAAGTTATATCACGTGCCTGGAAACGCGCGCGAGCGCTATTACGTCGCAATAAGACAATCGCGTCCTGCGGAATCCTGTGAACGTGGCGGATTGTTGGCGACCTATTCGGACGGGCGATCGTCGCTGTATTAACTCTTATCTCTACGACATAATTACTTCAATATTGTTCTATCAGCCTATCAGCGACAGCGCTCTGACAGATTTTTCCACGTCACTCGACGATATCGACGGAACCGGAATTCGTATCACGCGCCTCATAGAAACGGGTGAATGCGAAGGAACGGAGTAGCGGCGCGCGATTTTACTCGGAAGGCAATGTGAATGCGATGTTTCCCCGTCAACATAGAAGGCATAGAATAACACGAGAGTCCGAGAGACGCTTGCAAGACATCTGAAGGATTAAGATGTCCGAGGAATTCCTCGTCATCTTTTCGTCTTCAGTGTTGACCGCGGCAGTACCGGCGGTGAGTATTCTCCGTCTGCCCCGTCATATCATCATGGTCGTCGTCGCCGCCATCGATACGGCAGCGGCTTCAGGCTGCTACTGACCTAGAGAAAGAGGGAGGGAGGGAGAAAGAGAGAAATAGAGAAAGGGTCAAGATCACCAGGACGACGGGGGCAAAGGCAGACGTGCGTTTCCTGTCCCGTTTATGTTACACGCGAGACTCCCCTGCGATACGCCACTGCCCTGCTTGCGCGCTCCACAGAAACCGGACCTTGTAGCGAACCTGCATCGGAACGGACTTACATACGTACGTATATACATACGGCCCGTAGATACGTCGAGAATAGAGCGCACCATGAATTCCGATGAGCGTGATGTACCGTTAGCCGCTTTGCGGGATTCCCCTCGCGTCCACGGACTCGCTGCTTCTCATCTGCTCGTCATCTCACGGTGGCGAGATGCGTCTCGCCGCCGCGGCAGCCGAAAGTCGACGCGGACGAACGCTCGGGATTGCGTTCTGTACGAATATGATTCTGTACTACGAGATCGCCAGATCGAACGAAGAAGAGGGATCCGTCGCATTTCCACACAGCATTCCGCATAGACAGGTGGAGCACCGCAGAGTGACGTAACGAGACGTATCTTGATGGAAAAAGAATCCGACCTTCGTTTCTTCGCTTCCCCCGCAACGACAGCTGTATTAATAGTTATTAGGCAAATTAGTCTCACTAATAAGATACTCAGATTTTAATTCAGGGTTAAATGAGAGTTTTTCACTTGAATTGCGATTATAGATACAAGGCCGATATTCATAGTCTCCGTTGCTAATAAAACGATCCGAATAGCATCTAAAAGTGAACTTAAGACGACCTTAAATATTAATTTGACTATGAATATCGTCCTAAATGTCTCACATATATTGGGAACCGATTTTAAAATAACTATTTTCAATTCAATACTGCTATAATGTATGCATATACTTATTTCTAATAGCATAGATAAATATTGAGAGAGACATGATATCTTCAATGACAAAAATGTCCAAAATTTAATTGCAACTTGAATATTAACAAAAAAGCAAAAAGTGAGAAAATCAAGAAATCAAAAAGAAATCATTGGCAATATGGATCTTACAGAGAAACTTCAAGAATCATTAACAAATTCATACAATAAATAAATCAATAAAGAGTAAAACTATGTTTATTCTTGAAAAAAATTGTTTGTAATTATTAGACAAATTATTTCATACATTAAAAAACTACAATTGTTTATTACAATATATCATGCATATCCCTTATACGGCAAAAAAACATAATAAACAGTAAAATAGTAACTAAACATAATAGACAACAGAAAAGAATAGTAAAAAATTTATCCTATTTTTTCCACGTATTACTTTGGATGTTGATTAAATTTACTTTTGTAATAATCCATACCTAGACAGCACAAAATATTCTGTGAATACACGTACAATACTCTTGCAGAAGAGAGAGAGAGAGAGAAAGAGAGAGAGAGAGAGAGATTCATCAATTTATAATAGAAAAATACGCTCTTAAATCATTCGTAAAGTTTATTTATTGCATATGTACAATGCATCTAAGTAACTGAACAATTTTCCAAATGTTCCAAATAGCAATATGTATTTATTTAACTTAGTAATGTAACGTATCTACGTAATAAAATATTTAAATTATTTTTTTATAATTTTAAAATTAAAATTAATAATTTACTTAATTAACCTTCTGTAAATACTCTATGTAGATTCACAGAACATTTACAATTGAATTATTCGAACATACTATGAACATATAACGGTATTTTTAATACACAGAATATTTTTAATTCACAGAATATTCTTTTGTTAGCTTTTCCTGGGTATTATTGCATGTCTTGGGAAACTAAAACTTTTCGTATCATTAAGAAGGTTAGGAATAACAACTGAATGACATTGCATTATCAATACAAATATATTGAGAATGTACATTGAATATAAAAATTAATGAATTTATCTTAAGCACATTAGAACAATGCGATTGTCACAATATGTAATTTTCAGACGGAATAAAAGCAGAAAATCGTTTATATGTACACATACGTTTTCCGCCTGCCGTTCATTATTACGTTTCATCAGTTTTATAATAAATAAAGTAATTTCCAGCAGATGCCGTTAGAGTGCAATAATGTATTTAATTAAAAACTTGGATTTAATTCTGAATGAAAATCTGAGCATTTCACGTGAGACAAATTTCAGATAATAATTATTAATATATGCTTAAACGTTGGACGATCGCCTGGATTCTCGTTTCGAAAGAGAGGAAAGGCGATTTCAAGCATATAAACGTTAGGCGTTAAATGGATACTTCCGCATTTGTATTTATAGTTGTAACATGCATTCAGGCGTATTTATAATTTATTATTAGATTATAAAACATTGTGTATAAGAGTCGAGTAAACACGTTTCTTTTCTCCTTCCAATTACCTTCGCGCATTCCTAATTAATATGAGTTTCACAATTAATTTTATTGTAGATAACTGATATTCGCACTGATGTCTACTTTGTCCGACAGGTATGAACTCAACGGCACTTTATACAGCATACATGCATGCACGCCCGCAAAATGATTATCGTATAATTAATTATCGGTTGCTGTACATTGTAAATCATGTCGACGTATTCCTCTCGCCTGCGTGTTCGTAATTATCACACGTCCCTTAATTGATTTTGCCGTTGCGCGATAACTAGTAGCCACCATATAACGCGCAATGATCGTCATGTGATTTGTGATAGGCGAGAGAAATGCACGGCGCAACGAACGAGATTCCTGGCGCTGTTGAAAGACATACACAGGCGGAAAGACGCCCGCTCTGGCATCCTCTATTTTCAGTGCATAACGGTATCGAAATAGTCGCGTATGTGTAAATAGGATAAAGAGAAACTTTATTGCCCTTTTCCTTCTCTCTCTTCTCCTCTTCTCTCTCTTACTCTTCCTCTCTCTCTCTCTTTCTCTCTTTCTTACGCGAAAAAATTATCGTAAATATAAATACAAGCGCGTAAAATAGACATGGATAGCGTGCATGCGATGGACACATAAATGTCAAAAATGATCGACACTATGTAATTCGGTTTTCACTTAAGTTTCACACATCATCTCACGAGCTGACAGAAGAAATCACTATAAAACCATTATTTCACAGGAAAACATTTCACCTTAAACATCTCACTTGTAGCAGAATTCCACTGAGTTTAAGTACGTCCATCATACACTTATTGTGCAAGTCAAAGACACATTAGCACTAAACAGTCATCGGCATCGTGTCATCCATGTCTTTCTCCGTATACTACTCTGTTGCAACTGTCCGCTAAAAGTTACCATGCGACTCGTTAATAATGCAATACCAAAGTGCTCACTCGATGGCAATCCTTCTTTCCAATCATCAAACTTCTCAACAAGATAAAAAATGTCGACAGCTGCAGGCTTCCCACGCCTTTATTTCAGCGGTCTCTCGTATCGTCATAAAAAATTCTTTGCATGCATGCTGACAATTCTGCAATTATAAATATGCGGTAGTAAGGAGGGAAAAACACGATACATCGAAAGTGATGGGTGTTTCTGACGATGGACAATACATTGTGCACGTTTACACGATCATAATTTATTCGCTTACTCCTTTTACAAAAGCGTTAACAAAACGATACGCTCCCATGTGTTCGTCATTTATTCTGATTGCTGAAATATTTATGACGATGCGCACACATACATACAATGAACTTTAGTCTTTTGAAAATTTTGTTTTGAGAGAATATGTAACGAATACAGACGACTTTTCCTCGATAGTGCGAGACAGTATTCTTTTAATTCTTAGCATGCATCGTTCAAGTGGATATAACGGTGCTCTTTTCTGCTACCGGTTTACGTTTTTTTACTCAGATCAGTTATCTGTTTATATAAGAGTATTAATATAATTAAGATTTTTCATAATTTTCTGTACATAAATATCCAAATGTGCGGCAAGGATTTCTCAAATAGATTTATCAAAATACCCCGCTCAGAAAAACTAATTATGAAAGAACATAATAGCTGTTTGTTTCAAACAATTGTTTCAAAAACACGGCAGTTCTTTGTATATTCTATTGATATATTAAGGCTCCTTGTACTATATATATATATATATATATATATATATATATATATATATATATATATATATATATAATTATTATAATGAATATCATTATTATAACCATATTTTCATAATTATAACCATAATATTTTATTATGATAATGACATTATGATTATCATAATAACAAATATGTGTGTGTGTGTGTGTGTGTGTGTGTGTATATATATACATATATATGTGTGTATGTATATATATATATGTATGTATGTATGTATGTATATATATATATAGATATATATATATATATATGTATATATATATATATATATATATATATATATATATATATACTCCTATATTATAAACACAGTCTTTTTAATAAGCAGCATGTTCACGGATAAAATGAGATGATTTGGCCGTTTTGCGCATGTACAGTATAGCCTACGATATATGAGTAACTCCATTTCATAGAAGTTCCATCGAATATTATAAAACAGGAGAAAAAACCATAACTCAAAAAAATAAAGCTTGTCATATTCTAATTAAATGGCACAACATAAAAATCACAAGTTGAGTTTCTGCATATTTCTATTCTCGATTTTAGCGTATGCACACAACGCACAATTATTCTGCTCTATAGTGAGGTATCGTCCGTAATATTTTCTGGAACTCTGGTCGCAATATAGGAGTATTACATATATGCCTTGTGACGGAACCGAGATGACAGTGGCGCCATAGCTGTCAATGGTGGGAATTAGAATCTTATCCAGCGTATGCACGAGGTAAATACTATTAGGTTCTGTTCCGTGCTACGATTGATATGAGTTAGACATGAATGAATTTCTGTTTCTTCTTGTCTCACCACTGGCATGCCGATAATTGCGACTGTAGGTACGAGACATTTACGAAACATCTCGTCTCACTCGTTTTCTCTTTCGAACGATGCGCAAACCCAGCAGAAAAGTACTTCGAGACTTTGATGACTGGTGGTAATAACGTATCGAGGTCAGCGAGTGATAATTCCTTATTAATTTGAGCAAGTTTATAAACACGTACGCGTACATGTGTACAATTTGTATGTAATACTTGTACACGTGTTTATATATTGTACAATAGTAAAATAATAACAATAAAATACTATTGATAAAATAATAAAACATTCCAAACAGCACAATGTCCAAAATCGGGTCATAAAACGTTAAAACGTTAATTTAAAACATCTTTAAGATATCTTTAAGACAAGTTTATAAGTTATTGTCTTAAAGACATCCTAAAGACGTCTTATAACTCGATTTTGGACATTTATGCTGTCTGGGATGCCATCGATAACGTACGATTTACGCGCGAATAAACTTAGTATTTCCTTATTTTTGCTCTTAAAAAAGATGTCACATATAGCTTAACTGTGCAATTCTGATAAAATTTGTCTATATTTTTTGTCTGTCACAATATGCAAAATTATGCTATGCTTACCACCCGATGCAAGCTATGCTATTTGAAATAAACAGAGTTGGGAAGTAACGCGTTACTTATAATGCCGTTATTGTTACTGTTATTTTTTTAATAACGATTGTTACTTTTCTTTGTTTGTAATGGTAATGATAACGTCATTACATTTTTACAGTAACAGTAACGAATTTAATTGTTATTTTGATCGTTATTCTAGTTATCTCTATTCAATGATGATACACTGGTCGCGCGCTGATAACGTATATTAGATATTCTTGATTGGATAAAAATATCTTGATATTCGCTGAAACTACATGATTTCATCTTATCATATAAAAATAATTGTTAGTGCAAAATCAAATTTCGTGATTTAGCTATTAAAAATTTTTAATAGAGTGCGGTCAAATGAGTATTGAACATATTTTCCCAATTCGATTAGAGAAATAAGGATTTGAAATAGAGATTCGCTGTCCCTCTTTGTCTAACTCATGCTACTCATAGCATAGCACGGAACAGAACCACCGCGTTTACTGCAACGTCAAATATTCGCATGTAACACCACAAGGCTGCAAAAGGCTGAACTAAAGGCATGGAAAAGTGACATATTGATACGAAATTTTATGTTGCGTGCCATTTTGTTAATATTCATCTCGGTAAGCAGTGATATGTAACATTTCAGACAACGAATTTTTAAAGTATTTCTGAAGTTTTTTCTTTACCTGAATTACAGTTCTCTAAGAATTCGTAGAAGAATATTATAAGAATAATTCAAGAAATTACATACATCACAATTGGAATTCCTGAGAATTTCTCGAAGTATTTATATAGACTACTGCTTAAGAACAAACAGAGGACTATAAAAAAATACCCAACAAATATCATCTAATAGCAACATTACACCAATATTATAATTTTCCAGTCACATTTGTAAATATTAAAATAGTCTAAAAACATTAATATTTGATAAAAAAATATTGGTGCTGTAGTTTACGAATACTTCATACGTTTGTGTCTTTCCATAGTTTCAATCCTAAGCGATGGTCGGCCGATCACTATGTATCTGTCTCTTAGTCACGGTCGGCATTGCTTGACCAAGATGCACACAGCAGATAATCATCCTAATGACGATACCCTTAGGATTTATGCTTATAATGTATACTTATATACGCTTATATAATAGCAATATTACATGTATACATAACTAACAGTTATGTATACGTGTAATTTGATTTTTTTTTAGGCTTTCGCCGTGTCCATGTATATTAGATTTGGTTTCCGGGTTTGAGCCGCGTGAATTCATCTTTGTTTGATTCCGACGTTTCGCGAACATTTCAGTCCGCTTCATCAGGGAGGAACAACCCGATTCCTCCCTGATAAAGCGGACTGAAATGTTTGCGAAACGTCGGAATCAAACAAAGATGAATCCACGCGGCTCAAACCAAATCTAGTATACGTGTAATATTGCTATTATTATAACTAACAGTTATGCAACTGTTACTCGGTGTTTGCTGGTACAAAACATTGAAAGCATTTGTTGAGCGCAGTTACAGGAAATAATTGTAATAATAAAGCATTTGCAATTCTACAATTACGTCCTCAAAAATTCTCATAGTATTCAAAATATTTAATCACGAAATATTCGTTATAATGAACATTCCAGGAATGCTTCAAGACGAATTGATTGTAATTAATTTGTCAATAATTTTCCAAATATTCATTTTTCTAATTCTTTAGATATTCTTTAAAATGAATTTTCTATGACTTTCTATTGATCTCTGTGCTATCTAGGGTGTTTGTGAAATCTGAATTTTCCGAAGCTATCAAGTTCAGCACGAAATATAACATATGAAAACTGATTTTCCATCATCAGCTATTCAATCATGTATTGTCATCCATAAACATGCCTCATTTCACATTTATCATATGAATATTTACGGTCTCCTGACCGTCAAGGGAAAGGAATAGCTTTTGGCAAATTTTACAAGTGTGCTCAAACGATCACAGATGCTTTTTCGTTCGTCTTTATTTTCATTTAAAAAAAGCACGAAACTTTTGTCAGCAAGTCATCCCTCGCTTCTGACATCACAAATCCAACATGGTCGCGAAGTATAAGGAGCCTTAATAACTAAACAATTCAATTTTTACATTTTTTTATTTTTACATTTTTTTTATTTAGAAAAGTTAATATGTTCAAGTACACCCGTGAAGCCCATTTTGTAATTCATTTGTTGATATATTTGTTTGGAAATATTATAAATAAAATTATAGTTTTTAGCATAAAATGAAACTTCAGTTTCTAATGACAGATTTCGAATGGGCGATCAATCTAAATCGATTTATGTTAAAAGTCGTCGGTTTGTGGCCACTAGACAACCGGGACTCGCGTCAAATTGTAAAACTCAAATTTCAACGGCTGTGCTGTTTCATCATAATACTTTTCGTAGTCGCGATACCGAGTTTAATATCACTGATAAGAGTATGGGGTGACATGATACTAATGATAGATAATATGCAATATTGTCTACCTCTGTCGATGATAGTTTTGAAAATCTGCATTATTTGGTACAAACAAGAAGGTATGTTATGTTTAGCACAGTGTTTTCTTATCAGTAACTCGTCTAATTTTTGAATCTGTAAGACGCGCAAAAGTATCTATAAATAAATAAAATAATGACTTCTCAGATAGTCAAACCTGCGCAAACAGATTTTGTGTAGAGGATGTTACAAATTTGTTTTTTATAACAGAAAGGCAGCAAATTGAACATAGGATTTAATATATCTGGTTATGTTGTCAAACTACCGTTAGAAATATGACAGAGCCTGCTAACAGGCAATCCAAGCAGATTGACGGCAGAAACCAAGCAGAGTCTGTAACGATCTGACGGCAAATTGACAACAGAAATCGACCAGACACTGTTTTGCAACAGAATCTGTGTGATTTCTGTTGCCAATCTGCAATTCTGCTGGATTGGTTACGTTCAGCAGAAAAATAGCTTAGTAAGCTTTCTGCTACGTTGGCGGCAGCTATGCAACCGTTGGAAGATTTTCTGCTGAACGACACTAGTGGTTTACGCTTCTTCAAAATATTTATAAAGCAGTCGTCATTTTTTTTAGCATATTGTTAACATGCTGGACCGCTTAATAAACATGTTGGAAAAGAGTAAACCGCTAAGTGCCGTTTAATAAAAAATCTCACGAATAAAGTGGTTTGTGCTGGCAGCATAGCATAAAGCGCTTTATGTGCTGAATGTAACCATTGCTTGTTAGCAGACTGTGTCTAAAACACTAAAACACGAATTGAATGAGGACATGAATGTTTATGGTTATAATAAGGAATTCTTATCAAATTTGTTGCCAATCTGTGCACACTCTGCTACCAATTTGCCTACTGGATTATCATTCCTTGTTACAGTTTTAGGCCTCCTAATTGATATGGTTGAAGAAGATTGGGTGAAGGTAAAAATGAAAGAAGAGCGAAACATCATGCTGAAGTGCGCCAGAATTGCTCGAACGATTGCTGTGTGTGGAATGTTTATGGCATTTTTTGGAATAATCAGTCTGTATGGTTTACCGTTTTTTAAAATAACAAAGAGTTGTGTAACTAATTTAACCGATTTTGAAAAACATTTTCCAATACCATCGTACTATCTGCACGATGTGACCAAGAGTCCACAGTTTGAGCTCACGCTATTGGCGCAAGCATTCGCATCGTCCATAGGTAGTATGTCTTACTCTGCAGTCGACAACTTGTTCGGACTATTAGCTTTTCACGTGTGCGGTCAATTAGAAAATTTACATTTGCGGTTGAAACATATGAAGAAGTACCGCAATTACGATGAAGTTTTGAAATATAACGTCCAAGATCACATTCGTTTAATCAGGTACTCAAAATAGATTGTCAGGAAAAACTATCCAAACAAAACTATTCGCACCTACACAATCGTGTACTTAAATATAATACAAAATTACATTTTTCTTTGAGTAGCAATTGCTGTTTCAGATCTATCAAAATCATTGATGATATCTTCAATTTAATGCTACTTGGCCTACTACTTTACTTTGCTATACTATTTTGTCTGCAAGGATTTCTCATAGTTAATGTAAGTAAAAAATAATAGTATGCAAATTATTCGATTAAAGATACTGTGAATCCTACAGTTCTCAATAATTCAAAACAACCATATATGAACAAGCAATAAAATGCACGTATCGATTCACGTTACTATTTAATAATTTTTTGTCAATTTTCTTCGTATACAATGTTTTTCTAATGTGACACGATGAATTTTAGAGGATATAGCATTTCAAGATTTTACAACTTGTGTTGATGACTATTTAGGTTATTAAGCAGAAAGACCAATTATCAGTTTCGCAGTTGGTTTGGTTTGTCGTAGCTACTGTATCTTTTCTTTTGCACATGTGTCTTTATTGTGCCGTTGGTGAAATTTTAGTAATACAGGTAAGTGAAAGAATAGGATACATAAACTTTAATGGGTAACCAGAAAGTAAATACCCTTATAGAAATATCATACTAAGAATCATTGATAATTACTTATTATCCAGTATTTTTAATACTGAAAATAAGTAATTATCAATAATTCTTAGTATATTTCTATAAGGGTAGCATATAATTTTATTACTTTTATATATATATATATATATATATATATATATATATATACACATATTCGTTATTATGATAATCATAATGTCATTATCATAATAAAATATTATAGTTATAATTATGAAAATATGGTTATAATAATGATATTCATTATAATAATTATAATTATGTCGATAGTAATCGTGATAATTATAATAATAGTAATGTTTGTCATTACAATAGTAATAGTTATAGAAATGATAATAATAATGATAATAATCATATTTATTTTACTGATATTTATTTATTTTATTAATATCTAAAAAATAAAATGGAAGGAAATGAATATATATCGAGTGTTTCAGACCACTTGTATACTCTACTTACAAACGAGGGAAATACTTATTTTAAAAGAGGTTTCAAACAAAAGTTGTTAAGTTCAAAGGGAAATTTAAACGTGACTTTGATTTTGATTTTGGCGGCTATTGTCAAGGTTATTTCAAGGTTACATTTTAAAATGGTAGCTTCCCCTTTTTATTGCATATTCTTATAGCTTATTTCAAGAGCTTTCCAAATCACTATGACAATGTATTTTTTCATTAAGTACTTTTTGAGTAATGAAACTTGAACGTTACCGCCGGAATTAGCATTAGCCAAGATATACCACGCGAAGGTTGCTCGATCGAAGTTATACCTCTTCTGTGCATGTGTGTTTGTGTGTGTGTATTGTGTGTGTATTGTGTGTGTGCGTGCGTGCGTGGATGGGTATGGTGTGGATATAGTAAACCGAAATATTTCAGCAAATATAAATTTTATAAGAAAATTTTAAGATAAAAATGTTGTAAGGTATAAAAAAATCTATTTACTGACCTTATCCTGACTTTGGCGATGCCAGTCAAGAGAGTGATGCCAGTTTGGAATCGTTTACAGCATGCTCCTGTGCGTGGAACGTGAGATGGAACGCATTCAAGTGACCTGCCATATCCATGTGCGCTCGACGTTTCGGCTGGCTTCCGGCGGTGGAAGAGATCAGATGTATAATCTGTTGTCTCTTTCTTCCCGAGTTATAGTTACAGCTAATACCACTAATATCGCTAGCTACGAGAAACGTACTAGATAAATAAATACGTACAAATGAATAATCCAAAAATTTTTTAAGCATTTGAAACTTTTAGAATGAATTTATCCTCCTATTAAAGGTTAGAATGAATTAATCCTCGCTCTTTTGCGGTTTTTGTTGATATGTAGCTATTCAAAATGACATTTAGTATGACAAAGTGCCTCACATAAACTTAAAAATATTTTTTAAGGTTATGTGAGGCCCTTTGCCATATTAAATGCCATTTTGAATAGCTATATGTCAACAATAACCGCAAAAAAGCGAGGATTAATTCATTCTAACCTTTAATAAGAGAATAAATTCATTCTAAAATTCTAAAACTTTTTATGTTAGGCCATCCTTTTCTACGTAAGTCCCTCCCTCCACTCCACAACGCTCGGTCTAGATATATTATATCTATGGTCGTGCCCGACCGAAATTGGCGCTGTCGTGCTTTAGTCGCTTACGCTCCTTTTCAGAGCTGTTCGCACGATTGCGCTGTCACGGCGCTGACGGTGGCGCGGTCGTGGAAGACGTGACTGTTACGGGCTCATTGTAACGTTTCGTTGTAATTCCAACAAGCAAAAATGCTGCAAAACCGTGTAGATTGATTTATTCATTTTTCGGCAAAAGTATTGTATCACACAATGTGTACAGATTTTGTTTTAAGTGGTTCAAAAGCGGTGATTTTAGTGTGCTTGTAAATTCTAGCGGACACAATCAACATCGATCGCAAAGCTTGAATGCTTCGGAAAAAAATTCTGCCCTGCATATGGTGAAATATTAAGGCATTTTATTATAAGCTGTTAGCTCAGGTGAAACAGTTACTGCGGACTGGAAACCAATTGTATCATTTGAGTCAGGAATTCGAACGAAAATGTCCGTGTACTGGCGAAGAAAATTGACTTGTGAAAAAACTACATGACAACATTAGGTCACACACATTGACAGTGTATGAAAAATATGCGTGTGCATTCGAAAGAGCAATTTAAAAGAAAACACTGTCATAACGTAGAAAAAGTACAGAAGATGATGTTGCTATAAAAAAATAATGACTAATGGTTCAATCTGAAAATATAATAAGCGCGCAGAATATTCTTAACAATAGTTTATGGTATTAGCTTATCTAATAAAGAAAAAAACATTATATTAATATTATTATAACGTTATTTAACAATATGTTTTCAAATAAGTCGTTTTTAACGTTGTATAGAACATTTTTACGAACAAACGTTGACATTGATTTGAAAGTTGCGATAATATTGAAATTACATATGATTATAAAATTTGAAGTAAACACTGTATTTACGTCTTTTTAACATTTTGGCATCCGTTCCTTCAGTACGTACTGATGTCTCCTATAAAAAAATGATAAGTTTAGCTATAACATTGGTCTAAATAAATAGTGTTTGAATAAATAAACGATTTACTTAAATAAAAGAAATCTGATACTTCTTTAGCACAGCATGAGTCACAGCATCATTTCGCTTCATACATTTATTTCTCCATTTCTATCCTACAGCGGTCACTTATCCTTAATCTGACCATGCTCTTTATTGCTTAAATGTCGATAATCGAAGACAAACTGGCGCGATACAAGGCCGATATTCATAGTCTTCGACTCCATTTGAAAGTGAATTTAAGACTATCTTAAATATAAAATTTATAATTATAAAATTAAAAAATTAAATTTATAAAATATTAAATTTATAAAAATTAATATTAATAATATATTAATATATATTATTAATTTATAAAAATTAATATTAATAATATATTAATATATATATTTAAGACTATCTTAAATATTAAATTTTTAAATATAAAATTATAAAACTAAATTTATAAAATATTAAATTTATAATTTAAAAAATATTAAATCTATAAAATTATAAATATCGTCCTAAATGTCTCACACATATTAGGAACCGATTTTAAAATAACATTCTTCAACTCAACATTGCTATAATGTAAGTGTACATTTTTAACAGCATAGATAAATATTGAAAAAGACATGTTATCTATAAGAACTAATAAAAAAATATCCAAAATTTAATTGCAACTTGAATATTAACAAAAAGTAAAAAGTATAATTGATTATCGGTTGCTGTATATTGTAAATCATATCGGCGTATTCACCTACGTGTTCATAATTATCAAACGTCCCTTAATTGATTTTGTCGTTGCGCGATAATTAGTAGCCATCATATAACGACGAATGATCGTCATGTGATTTTTGATAGGCAAGAGAAATGCACGAGATAAGAACGAGATAACTTACGCACATGAAAGATACACACAGACGGAAAAATGCCCGCTCTGGCATCCCCTATTTCAGTGCATAACGGCATCAAAATAGTCGCGTATGTGTAAATCGGATAAAAAAAAATCTATTGCCCTTTAAAACTTTATTCTTCCTTTCCATCTCTCTTTCTCTTACGTGAAGAAATTATCGTAAATATAAATACATACGCGTAAAATAGACGTGCTTTACCGTGCACGTGATGAACATATAAATGTAAAAATCATCGACATCATATAATTCGGTTTTCACTCTAGTTTCACACATCATTTCACGAGCTGACGGAAGAAATCATTGTAATCATTTTACGGGAAAACATCTAACTTTAAACATCTTACTTGTAGCAGAATTCCACTGAGTTCAAATGCGTCTATCATACTATCATTCTACAAGTCGAAGATACATTAGCACTAAACAGTCATCGGCATCATGTCATGAGAGTCTTTCTCGGTATGCTGCTGTGTTTCAACTGTCCGCTAAAAGTTACCTTGCGACTAAAGACTCGTTAATAATGTAGTGTCAAAGTGCTCACCTTCCTTCCAACAATCAAACTTCTCAACAAGGTAAAAAATGCCGACAGGTGCAGGCTTTCCACGCTTTATTTCAGCGGTTTTTTTTCGTATCGTTACATAAAAACTTCTTTGCGTGCATGCTTACAATCCTGCAATTATAAATGTGCGGTAGTAAAGAGGGAAAAACACGATACATCAAAAGTGATGGGTGTTTCTGACGATGGACATCATACATTGTGTGCGTTCACGCGATTATAATTTATTCAATTATTCCTTTGGCTACCAAAAGCGTCGACAAAACGACACGCTCCTATGTGTTAGTCAGGTTTACCCTGATTGTTGAAATATTTATGACGACGCGCACACATACATACAATGAACTTTAGTCTTTCAAGAATTTTGTTTTGAGAGTATAGCATAGAGACAACTTTTTCTCAATAGTGCGAGACAGTATTTTCTTAATTCTTAGCATGCATCGTTCAAGTGGATATAACGGTGCTCTTTTCTGCTACCAGTTTACGTTTATTAATTAGATCAGTTATCTCTCTGTTTAAGAATAGTAACATAATTAAACATTTTCATAATTTTCTATACATAAATATCCAAGTGTGCGGCAAATATTTCTCAAATATATATATCAAAATATCCCGCTCAAAAAAACTAATTATGCAAGAACATAATAACTGTTTGTTTCAAATAATGACGCAGCAGTTCTTCGTATACTCTATTGATATATTATAAGGCTCCTTGTATTATATATATAATACATCTATATTGCTAGCACAGTCTTCCCAATAAGCAGCATGCTTACGAAAGAAATGAGACGATATGGTCGCTCTGCGCATGTACAGCATGTAAAGTATAGCCTACATAGAAGATATATGAATAATACATAAAATATATATGAATAACTCCATTTCATAGAAGTTCCACCGAATATTATAAAACAAAAGAAAAAGAATTACATCTCAAAAATCTAAAG